AAATAGAATGCGCGCAACATCACGACCTTAATATGCGCAAGTGAGATATTTGCGTGGTCGTTTATAACGACTTTTACGAGCGCATCAATAACAGCAAACGCGTTCAAGAAACTTTCATTACAGAAAGATTTTACTTAAAGGAACAATTAGTTAGCTTATCTTCATACCCTGCCTGGCGGCAAACGCTGCTGGTGGCGCTAGGGGTGGCGGTCCCGCCATAGCCACCGAAACCGTGAGATCACCCCTGGTCGGCGGCTGATGAAGACAGGGTATCGCACGTGCTAACACACGTTGTATGTTAAAAAAAAAAAAAAATGTTCCAGACAGGGTAAAGTAATGGATTGCGGCTCGGATCGGTAGTGCTGAGTTCGAATTCCACTCGAGTTCCTTAAATGCACTTACGTTCTACTACCCTTGGGAAAGGTATGAATACAACTCTCCCCACCTCGACCGCTATAGGAACCTTATAATCAACAGCTCTTAATAGACGACTCATGTCATATTCCAGCTATGATTAAATAGTAGGATAGCCTGAATTATATAGCCTTGAATGGTAACCGCTCAAGGCGAAGGACGGCATTGAAGTCTAAACACACGGACGGTGGTTTGGTAATCTTGTGGCATACTGTGCAGCAGTTCTCTGTATTCGGCTCCTCCTAAAAGTGTGGTTGGTTCTGCACAAGACTTCACTACTATAATCAAATGATGCGTGCGAGTAGTCTGGTTGGTGGTTCTAACAACTGAGTGTCCAGTATATATATATATATATATATATATATATATATATATATATATATATATATATACTGGACACCCCCGTTGTTTTTTGACGACGTATGAGGGTCAAGCAACTCAGTTCTTAGATATCAAATTCCTTAAGCTTATTTACAACTTGCACTATCCGGTTTTTTCACACCACTCCGGTATAGGTATTAAATAATACATATATATATATATATATATATATATATATATATATATATATATATATATATATATATATATATATATATTAAATATATATATATATTATTTTTTGCATGCTAGCATGCTAGTTAACATTCGTGTCAGTCAGCTGTTGGCTCTCACGCTGGCCAATAGAATCTTCCTGCCTATTCAGGGCAGCCAGCTATAGGCTCTCACTCTGGCCAGTAGAAAATGGCCGCAAACTACATGAAACTGCCGTAGAAGCATGAAAAATCGATTATTTCCACTATCGATGGCAGTTGGGAAATGCAAAGCCGGTCTCGGCCTTTCCCTAACTTGGAGCATGTCCATGTAAATTTTAGTGCAAATCCGTCGAAAATTGCGGCCGTGCATTCGTTACACACACACACACACACACACACACACACACATATATATATATATATATATATATATATATATATATATATATATATATATATATATGCATTTAACGGAATTCGCTACCTATCTGTTTTTGCTACAGGTTTTAAAAATAAAGTTGAACACATTTTTTATAAATAATATTTAATTAAATGTAACATACATTTTTTATATAATTTCTAGTAAATCATAATTTCTTTCCGCGCATTCTAATAAAATAGATTATGGTTGTATTTATCATCTGTGTACATATGGCATCATCTGTGTACATATGGACCAAGCACAAAAATTGCCCAGCACCCGGGATCACTGCCATGCTAAATTCGTATTACAACGCCTCCTCCTTCCTTATAGCAATGATGCAGCCGTAGTGTTAGAATCTCCTTGGCTTAAGGAGTACAGATACCATGCTTTTATCTCGAATAAATTATGGTTACCTGTTATATTCGAGTTGATAATATTAACTAAATGATAAACGGAATAAATAACAGTGGTGAAATACCGGACGACATCATCAGACGAGTTTTCATAGCCCTGCCAAAGAAATCAGGTGAAAATGAATGCTAACTCTATCAGGCAATAATTTCGGTGAGCTACATAACGGAATAGTCATAAGAATTCGCATGAAAAGTGATTGTAGCGGAAATAGACTGGAAGTACAAGTAAAGTGTGACTTTGTTTAAGGCACTGGAATAAACGCAATTGTCTTGATCAGAATGCAAACTATAAATTGGAGATACCAAAATTAAACAAGTACAACAATTTAAATAAGATGTGAAGTGTTAAAAGTGGACAGAAAATGCGACACTGATATCTGACGGCGCAGTAGGATAACCAAAGTAACCTTCCAAAAGCTAAGCAGAGTATGAAGAAGCAGAAATTAGTTCCAAAATATTACGTAACATCAGTCCTCCTATATAGCAGGGAGTGCTGGACAATCTCCTCACAAATTAAGAAGAGATAGCAGTGTGATTGTACAGAAGGATACTAAGGATATCGTGGACCAAACATGTGAGAAACGACGAAGTTTTAGGAAAAATTGAAACAAACAGGAAATTTATATTTAATATCAAGAATAGACAGTCGAAACTTATAGGACACATAATGAGTAAAGAGGGCTTGAAAAATCTAATATAAACAACGCATAATATATTTAGTGAACGTGTTTAAATAAGTTTCGGAACAAAAAACAAAATCGTATATATATATATATATACATATATATATATATTAATTGATTTAAAATATGTTTTTTTTCGCTACACAGTTCTAACCATGTTTAAAAACCATATTTTAAATCAATTAATTTATAATATTAATGCTCTGTAAATTTACATTGAGCACTATTTTTTTAAAAATAAAAATATCTATAAGAACACCGGATTATATATCTTACTGTTCTTTCTTTTATATATATATATATATATATATATATATATATATATATATATATATATATTATGCAGTGTTGCATTAGAACATGCACATATCCACTACAAAATTGTACATTTTTGTTTCAACGCCAAAAAAAGGGAAATCTTTTTAAACGTCTCATCAGGTGGGGAATCAGGATGTTACTAAAAACTTTTATTCAGAAATACAGTTATCAAAGCAAATATGATCTACTTCCGTTCTTTGGGAATTTTCATAAAATGTATTCTAGAATTTACGTGTAGAGATGGAAGGGAATCTAATTCATTAAGTAGTCGTTGGCGAACGAAGAGGAAGGAAAAAGGAAAATGGGGAAATAGGAAAAGAAAAAGAGGCGAAAGAGAAAATGAAGAGGAAAAGAAAATAACGAGGCCATGGGAAGAGGAGGAGGTGATAAGCGCTGAGAAGATAAAATCTGGCCATAGAATATATATATATATACAAATATATGATTGGTGTATACGGAATGAATTCCAATAACCAACAATTACTATTCTTAAAAGAGTGCTCAATACAAAGTAGAACAGATATAATAATTTATTTAAAAAAAAAAAATAACATAAATAAGTTATAAAATCACTACAAAAATAGCCATTTTGTTTCAACACCCACGGTGTCTTATCTTGAAGACACCGGGGTTGTAGAAACAAAATGGCTATTTTTGTAGTGATTTTAAAAACATATTTATGTTATAATTTTTTTTAAATAAATAATTATATATATATATATATATATATATATATATATATATATATATATATAATGAAAAAGTATCAGGACTTGTGATATAAAAAAAGAAAATCTACATCACATATTAATCCAGTATTTAATCTCCTTTGAAGTCGTTCCTTCTGAAACCACATACTTTATTCAGCGTCGTTTTCATTGATGAGGGCATTCTTGAGACTACTTTTTAGGTACAGCGAGAAAGTGACTCGTCACATTCTCTTGGATTTTCTCGACGTCTTGAGACATTTTTCCCTTCATGTGGAATTTGATTTTTGAATAGTGAAAAGTAGTAACGGACAAAATATAGAGAATATGGTGGTTGTCGGTCGTGGGGAACGTTCCCAAATCATGGTCACTGATGGCATGCTGAGACGACCACACTCTACACACTTTCCTTCCAAGCACTGCTATAAACAATGGGAGTGAACAAGAGAAAGAACGTATAACTTCTGTGTATGTGCGACAGAGTTCAAGGTCTGTGTCGGACGGTTTCACTCTGCGTGCACTGGCTCCGTTAGCATAGAAATAACCCCGATACTTCTTATATATGATTGACATGAAATCCTTAATTACCTATATTAGCTTAGTGAATGGACAAAACCAAAAATAACAATTATATTGAGAAAATAATCTAAAAATGCGTTCATTTATTTTAACGTTGATGTGTTAATGAGAAGTGTTACCCTTTTCTAAAATAACTGTCAGTGTTATTTGAAGATTTCGATGCATCGTACCTTGTATGAAGACGCGGCCTTTCCTAGACAACGTCGTTCTATCCGCCTGATCCACCATCGTCAAACACTTACTCTTCGCCGAGTCTTTTCTTCGCTTTGAAAAGATTCCAGTGTTGAATTCGAATTGACAGTAATTCCTAAATTAATTTCTCGTGTTTGTACGCTAATCACTTGAATACTCCTAATGGGGAAGAAAAAAAACGGAAAATAAGTTTCCGTTTTGTTACGGCTTCAAAGTACGTTACTCTGTTTACAAAATTACGTCAAAGCTCATTTCGGTTCAAATAGATCCGATAATTTGCGTGTTTTCGCGACGCTAAAGTGAATTAGGCATCGGATATATCTTACGGTAGAGAGCGATCTCTGCCCTGAACAGAAATGGTTCTTAACTTCAATTAACTCTATCGATGGCATCTGAAAGATCAATGTAGCGTAACATTTCCCCACACAGAAACACAGTGATTGCTTACGTTGAAAAAGGCTTGAATCCATATTTCCCTGCGTTCCATCCTATTGTCTGATATCATGATATCCCCGACATGAAAAAGACTATGTAAATGAGAATTTGGGCTTACTACATCCCCATATCTAAAGGTTATTCAGTCCCCTTTGTATGATGTTATTACATCCTTTGATGACCTTGACAGGGAATTATTCTTATCCGATGTGCCATGTCTCTTCAGGATGTCTGCGGTTATATCTCTCCACAACTACCTGTTATCTTTTGTAGCTCTACGCAATGTTTCATACGGCGACATCACGGTTCTCGTACGATCACCGAAGTTAAGCAACGTCGAGCCTGGTCAGTACCTAGATGGGTGAGCGCCTGGGAATACCAGCTTGGATATGTGGTTGCTGTAATGGATAATGGCTCAGAATTGGAGATCGGAGAACAGAGTTCCAATTCCTGTTTGGTTCGTTTTCTTCACTTACCCGCAAATAACAATGGGAGAGGTATGAATCCACTGATCATCTCCCAAGCTATGGGTTAATTAGTAATACATGTATCACTAAGCCATTATTATCTTCTTAGAATCTAAAAATATTTTCTGGCTTTAAATAACCTGCAAAGGGTTGATAAAGAAAACGGATTAAGCAGAAGAAATTAAAAAAGAAGAAATTAGTAAGACTTGTAAACCATTAAACCAAAATATATTCTTATAATCTAAAAAATCTTTAAATCTGCAAAGGGTTGATAAGCCGTAGAAAACGAATCAATCAATCAATCTACTGATTAAGCAGAAGAAATTAATAGAAGAAATTAGTAAGACTTGTAAACCATTATTATCGCCAAAATATATTCTTACAATCTAAAAAATATTTCCTGGCTTTAAATAACCTGCAAAGGGTTGATAAGCCGTAAAAAACGAATCAATTAATCAATCTACTGATTAAGCAGAAGAAATTGAAAAAAGAAATCAGTAAGTCTTGTAAACCATTATTATCGCCAAAATATATTCTTACAATCTAAAAAATATTTTCTGGCTTTAAATAACCTGCAAAGGGTTGATAAGCCGTAGAAAACGAATCGATTAATCAACTAATCAATCTAAGCAATATTTGTTCCCTTATTATTGTTATGGAGTGGTTTCACAGTGGAGGCTTGTATTTGTACTAAGTCGGTCCTAAAATAGGTTCGACGCACAAAACGTTAGGAACTTGATATAATAGGTAATTGCACAGGGAAATCTAATTGTGGTCGCTGATACTTTAGTATCCGACTAACGGTCTTCCGGCATCGACTGACGGACCGAACTCACTGAGCGACTCCCTCGTTACTCTTACTACTCCTACTTATTATAGGTGGGAGAGTCTATTAACTATAGAATAGGTGTGTTCCACTATAACAATATAGTATTACTATTATATTTTAGATATTAAAACAAAAACATGTTAAAATCGCTACATGTTTCGGCTCTACGTTGTGCTTCTTCAGGCGAATGGTAAGTAACTAGTGATTAAATAATATTTTTACAATTTCAAAAGCACAATCTTACCTCTTTTCCGAAATGGGGTTGGTAAGAAAACACATAGAATTAAAGATAGATTTGTGGGTTTGTCTTGGTCGACCAGTTAATTATCACTCCCAGTCAATGTACCTCGATCCATTTACACATGCACTTAGTTAGGTTACCCACTGTTTTCCCTTTGTTTCTCTTGGTTCTAATATTTTATATGAGTTTCTCATTCCCATGTCCCTTTCCTTATTTCCTATTCCAGAAACTGGAACCGTCTTTTTATGATTCTAAGTATAAGTGTCCTTTTTTGTCTATTTTACTAAAACCTTTGTTGTTCACATGTTTCGTCCATGACATCCTCACTATGTTTCTGTAGAACTGCATCTCCGCTGCTGCGTGCCTCTAACTTCAACCGTGAGGAAATTCTTCGGCATTAAATGCCATCAGGAGCATTGATATTGCAGGCCACTTCAGCCCGTTTTTCTTGTTTCCTTTGCTTTGAGTTTCCTCTTCATCGCAGAGAAAACTGTCCAACATTCACTTCTAAATCATCTTCATCATCCCCTTGACTTTTGTAATCGCAGTACAGATCCGGATACAAAAGCCATATTGAGCCTCTTTTCCCAACGGTCTATCAATGTTAGCCATCAGCAATTCTGGTATACTTATACATGTCCATTGTTTGACATTCTTCAACCAGTTTTTAAGGTGGCGCCCTCTCCTATGTCCACTTTCAACGGTGTCTTGCAGGAAGGTTTTGCACAGGCTGTCGTGTCTTGTAACGTGTCCAAACCACGCCATTTTTCTCCGTTTGATAGTGGTGAGAAGAGGTTCCTATTGGCTCACAAAACATTTAACCCTTTTCTGCAGAAACTCATTGATTTTATGTTCCTAATAGAAGATGCCAAGGATTTTCCTCAGGCATTTTGTTGTCAAAAACTTGGATCTTTCACATCCATAATATATATATATATATATATATGTGTGTGTGTGTGTGTGTGTGTGTGTGTGTGTGTGTGTGTTATTGTTAACGGATAAGAACTAATATATCCGTAAACAATAACATATTTCTAAAAAACATATTTCGATTCGCATTTAATTTTTTGTGTCCGATATTACATGGATCTACTAAAAACAAAATAAATTCCATGCCTGACGATGGCGGAAAGTACAGCCGAAAGTACTAACAGATTTTAAAAAAAGACCTTATACAACTTGAAATTATTTAAAAAATAACATTCATCGATTGGTTCGTAGGTTAATGCAACTTTAAAATTGTTTGCGAAGATGTTTTTAGCCATTTATATCATTAAAAATTGAACTGCACCACATATTGTGTTTTTATTATATATGAGTTGATATTAAATAGTTCAGCATTCTTTTCGTTGTTTTTATTGCTTTTTTTATTTTTATTATATATATATATATATAGTGATTTTCCAAGCGTAGATCAGATGTGGCATGAGGCCGAAAGTATGGTTCTCCACTGCCTTAACCGGGTATTGAACTCACACTCTTTGGGTCCTGTCACTGGATCTAACCAACACCTTTATCTACTGTGCCATGTGTCCTTGAGATTAAGGCAATGGAGAACTTTCATAAGGAAATTAGCAGGAGATAACTGATAACTGACATCCATTAAACATGGCACGCGGAACTAGAACAGTCTACCCCAGTGAACGAAATAAAGGGTTCAGTGCGAAATTCCCACCACCTGAAGAAGGCCGGGGAGTACAACGGCCGAAATGTTGTGATAAATATGGCGACAAAGATGAGGACAATAGTCCGAATAATGTAAATAATGTACATAATACCTCATCTCAGAAATATAGACAGACTCTGAAACATATTTTAGTTGATAATATAGCCAATGAATGTAACACTTCATTATCGGGGAACTGAGTTCAAATTACAGCTGTAGTAGTTTATGTTCACTTAGCAATATTGCCTTTGAAAAAGGCATGAATTCACCTCTCCCTATTTATTAAATGCCATACATAAGGACCCGAGGAATGTTCTTAATTTGTCTCATTCAATCTAGAAACTCAGATGTCATCCTGGGTATGATGATAAACTGCACCCAGCAATATGTTCTCTGATCGGGTGATTGGAGGTTTCCAAGAATATTAACCACCTCTTAATTGTATCTGTTCGCAGATCCACCTTGCCTCGTGGTAGTAGTACCTGTTAGGGTCCCAGCTATGGGAAAACACTGAACACCAAAATAAATATGAAATGGTAGTAATGTATAAAAACACATTTTATGATAAAAAATTACCAACAATACATTTTTGTAACGAAATTACGAGTAGTACATTTTTATATAAAAACAAATTACCAATAATACCTTTTTACATATAAAATTACCAACAATACTACATTTTATAAAAAATAAATTACCAAAAATACATATTTTCATACTAAAAATACCAACAATACAATTTTATAATAAAATTACCAACAATATATTTAATAGTCAAATGACCAACAGTAACATTTTTATAGTAAAATTACCAACCATATATTTTATTTTAAAATGACTAACAACATATTTTTTATACAAAAATGACAATGAATACATTTTATTGTCAAATTAAAAACATGACATACATTGTCAAAAAAAAAAAAATGCTATGATTATTTCATTTCTTGTAAAGATGAACAAGTTTTCTCTCCTCGTTAATTTTCTCAGATTATTTAGCAAAAAGAAATGCAAACTAACTAATTGTAATTTAATCATTAAATAATGTCATTCTCTTAGATTAAATTAATTACAAAGATTCAATTTTCATATTTAGATTTTGGCATAGTGGTTTTGACATGTCGCTAAACAAAATCAACCAAATTCTTATGCTTCTTTTGACTCCACTATGTGGTTTGGGTATTAAATTCTTCATACCTTCTTTCCTCAGTATCTATCAACAATAATATATATCAGGCAGCACCTGATCGGGAGATTGGAGGTTTTGCGCAGCGTGGAAACACCTCTTAATTGCTTCTCTTAACAGGTTTACCAACGATACATTTTAAAGTAAAATTACCTGCAATACATTTTTATAACAAAATGACTGGCAATGCATTTCACATAAAAATGACCAACAATACATTTTGAACGAAAATTGATCAGCAATACATTCTCTATTTTTTAATATAAATTGTAACCTCCATTTGTTATCCAGAGTTTTTTGCTTTAATCTCCAGAAATTTCAGGACTATTCTATGTGCTACAACAACGATTGATACAGCTATCACCTAATGAATAATTTGGGCCAACGTAATCCTTTCTCAACCTTTTTCAATCATTCTAACCAATGTGCGCTATTGTTTCATCAAATTGCCCACATATTCACACACATCCACAAAATATTCTTCAAACTATACTATTATTATTATTTCCTTTAATTTCTGGTGTGTACTCATTTATTTCCGGTTCCCGACCAGAGACCTAAGGTCAGAAATGGTATCATGATATTTTCCGTAGAATAATTTAAAAAATAAATAGTCACACATATTTTACATAGATAAATCCCTTCTTAATGTGTGGGCTGTTCTCGTAAGAATAATTATTTGTATTTCTTTAAGGCATGCGCTGCCAGGAATCCCTTCAGTGAGTCTATTGGAATCTTTTCCAACCAATCCGAGGGCTCCAACTACAACTGGAAGTGTTGATGTTTTCATGTGCCACATTGTTCAGCTTTCGATTCCAAGGTCCTTGCATTTTGATAGATCTTCAATGATACATTGCAGTCTGCAGGGACTGCCTTATCAATAAAGAGACAGTTTTTTTTTGTTGTTTGCGGTCTCTAATAACAATGTTTGGGCGATTAACTTTGAAAATTTAAAATTGATCGCTGTGTTTGTGTGTATTGTGAAGTCCCATA